TCTCTCTCTCTCTCTCTCTCTCACACACACACACACACACACACACACACACACACACACACACACACACACACACATACACACACACACACACGCACACTGAAGCACACACACTCTCTCTCTCTCACACACACACACACACTGAAGCACTATCTCTCTCCATCTAAGACGGCAAAGAAGCGTCCTCTAGGAAAGGCGAGGGCACAAAAGGATGAAATGGCCCCTTTGTCGACGCCCCTACCTGTTGTGGAGGCCGTAGTATCGCCAAAACGGCCAAGGGCCAAAGCTGTTTTGGTGGTACCGTAGGTGCCAGCGCACAAGGACCACAACGGTCCAAACGGGGCCCTGACCCCCAAAAAACACACAATTTCAGGGGGAGGGGGGGGGGGGACCTRGGGATGCTCAATTTTTTCGTTTTTTATCTGCATACTAGACTACCGGGGCTATCTCCCATGTTTTTTTCTTTCTTTCTTGTTCTTCTACATTTAAGGCGCAAAAAAAACGCCGGCGGGTCCCATACGTTGGCATACAACGCAGTCATCATACGGGCGTACGATGGTATGTATGGCATTGTATGCGAGTACATTTTTTTTTTTTTTTTTTTTTTTTGTTATGGGAGATATGCATAGCCGGCCAGAACTCGTGCCAGAATTCTCTAGATAGCTCATCTATGCCTGGAACCTTGTTTGGTTGCATAGAATCTAGAGCTCGGTGTATCTCTGCTAGTAGCTCCTTATCTAGATATGTGGCTGCTTCTGGTTTGATGCTAGTGTCCAGGTGCTTCAGTTACTGTTTTCCGTAGTGTATTGTGATGTGTATAGGTTCTCGTAGAATTTTGCAGCAATGGCCACTAGTTATGGTGGGTTGCATGCGGTTTGAGTGGAGTGTGCGTGTCCATGGTGTGTTGTGTGTTGTGTGTGGTTTGAGTTCGAGGATGCTACAGCCCTGGGGGTGGGCGGGATATCACGACCGGCATGGATCCAAACACCTCCAAGGGTTGTAGTGGTTACCGGACTTCGTTCCTGTGGTTGAGGGTGCCGGTTCGAGACCGTGCGTGCACGGCGGGGCCTGATGCCCTAAAGCACGTTGATCAGTAATACTGTGAGGCGCCCTTGGAACCCGTGAGAAGTTGGCCCACTCGGAGTGACCGGGTTAAGTAGCGGTGGTGGGTTGCGTGCGGTTTGAGTGGAGTGTGCGTTTGATTGCTCTGTCCGTGGTGTTGTGTGTGGTGTGTGTGGTGTGTGTGGTGTGAGTTCAAGGATGCTGCAGCCCTGGGGGCGGCTGAATATCACGAACGGTATGGATCTAGTTTTTATACACCTCCAAGGGTTGTGGTGGTTACGAGACTTTGTTCCTGTATCTGAGGGTGCCGGTTCGAAGCCGTGCGTGCACGGCGGGGCCTGATGCCCTAAAGCACGTTGATCAGTAACACTAAATCTTCCTGTTTGTTTCTGACTGTTGCTCTTTCATCCCTCAATTCCAGGATCCTGTCATTCCTGCAATTAGATTTAATTCGTTGGAAAAAGAAGTTGGTCAGTGATTTGTTGCTTTCCCAGTCCTTGACCCTCGCTCTAATGCTCATTCCCCTCCTTTTCCAATCCGTTCACCGAGCCAGCTCGTCCTTAGCTAATGAGAGTAAGGTCTCATACAGTTGGGAACTCTGGTTATGGATGTTCTTGTCTTTCTTTTCGTCTTCTTGCTTCTCTTCTTCATTCTTTACTTACTTCTTTACTCAATCTAAGGAGACCTTTCCCGAAGTTTGACAAAATATCTTCCTCGTGGAGTTATGGTGAGTAACCCTCCCATAATTGTTTAACCACCTTTTGTAGACTCTCTAATTTTAATGAGGAGTTGTTGACCTTGAAAAAACTGCTTCCGGGCGCATTCTCAAAACCATAATTCAGTAGTAATCCCACTTGTCTATGGTCAAAACCTCCATAGCAGGGTTGCCTAAAGATGGCTGATGCGATAGCTGCCACCGCTATGGATTCTGATACTAGGAAGTAGTCGATTCTGGAAAAGGCTGTTTTTCCTTATTGGGTCTTTCTCGTATAGGTAAATTTCTTAGCTTCGGGGTGACCTATTCTGAACGGGTCTATCAATTTCATTTCGGTCATGAATTCTATCATTGTGTGTGATTCTGATTCCTCTATCCCTTCTCTAGCTGTGAGATTCTGACTAGAAAGTGGTCCACTGTGGCGTTCCAGTCCCGCACTTTTATGATGCGGTGGTGATTTGGGCATTCTTGTTTGATTACCTTTATTAAAGCTCTTCATTGTATGTTTGTGTTTGGTGCGTACATGTTTAGTATTGTCATTTCTTCCTGTCATACGAGAGTTCAATTCTAATCCACCAGCCTCCCATTGCGTCTTTGAATACCTGTTCTACCCTTAGGGAGCTGTGATGCTTTGGCTCGTCGACTGTTGAAAAGGATTAGTACTCCTGTGGAGGCTAAGTTGGGGCTGGACACTCATTCGGCTCTTATCACATATCTTAATTTCCTGATCATTTTCTCCTGGATCCTCTTGTATTCTTGAAGCAGTCAAGTGAGTTTCCTATAAGCAAACTATATCGGGTGGGTCTTTGTGAAACCAATTTGTGTTGGCTATAAAACCTAACCATTTCGCCGGTGAGGACAAGATGGTGGCTAATCCATGTACGTTCCATGACCTTTTGTCTAGCTCCACTTTATCCTTTGCTCTTTTATCTTCTTTTCCTTCCCCCTCATTTCGCCCTCCTCCTGCTTCCATGGTTCAGTGCTGTATGGTTTCAGTTTGTGTAGGTGGTGTTGTGTTCAAGGAGAAAGGGTTGGGTTCCCTGACTGCAAGGTTGTCTCCTCTCCCTCCTCCCGCTGCAAGGGAAGCAGCAGTCCTCCCATCTCCACCACTCCCTTCCTGTGGATTCCAAGGTCAAAAATGGTTGCCAAGCTTGCTGCCAGCATCTCAGGGCAGTACACTTGTGCCTAGTGCTGTGTAGGGTAGCTGTGAGATCTGCCACCAGGGTTTTCATTGCAGGTTCTCTCTCAGAGGTGTTTCTTTGCTGTAAAGAGCCACCACTGGCCTCACATCCAGAGTATGCTCCCTCCCCTCTGTCTCCTTCTCATTTGCTGCAGGCACCTTCAACACCTTCCACAACAGGCCCATTTTTGTTAGAGTCTGTCCTAAGACCGTCACAAACATCCTTTCCTCTCTCATAAATCTTCGGTTGTAACTGAATGTGTAGTAAATTCGTAGATGTTCTATTTAAGGTAAACAACAAGTTCCAAATAATGGGAACTGCCCAGTAATAAATAAGAAAAAAAAACAACAAGAAAGAAATTACACTCAAATAGAACAATTTTGTCCATTGGAACTCCTCTGACTTCCAATAGGTACATCAAACAAACCGGTTGGATCTCGCCGGTATCACCTATAGGCTTTAACGTTGTAAGTTGTTGTTTAGTCACCTGTCCCCCCATCAATATCAATAGATGGGTAATCAACTCCCATACGGTCAGTATCCGCCGATTTGGACCTTACCACTTAGTTTCAATGGCAGGCAGGAAGTCTACACTTTGCCCTTTTCCAGTCTTGAGAAGGCAAAGTTTTGCAGCTGTAGCGATCTGCCAATCTCCAGTTTGTTCATCCAATTTGATGGCCAGGATTGTTTCTTGATGGTAATAGGGTCTTGCTTATTGCCACTGTTCTGTTCTAGAACTCTGTCTGTGTGCAATCGTTCAGGATCCCAACTGTTATTGTCTTTAGTCTCATTTCCTCATTGACATCATCTCTGTACTTGTGCATCCAATACTTCTGCCTGCAGCAACAGAGTTTCTTTTTCATTGCTTGCCTCCCCTGCTTTCTGTTGATCCCCCTGCAAATCTTCCTTCTTCCCGTTCTCCACCTGCCCTGTCTTGCTTCCCCCTTGTTCCCCACTCTTCTTTCGTTTGTCTCCCTCCGTGTTCCCCTTTTTCTTCTCATCGACGTATTTGCTGAGAAATTTCGGCAGAATTTCCCCACTCCACTTGGGGCCGGGGATTCTCGTCAATGATATAATAGCTCGAAACTACACGAATGCTTAAATTGACTTCCAAGAGGAAAACCTGAGGGTTTGAATGTGGAAAATTTTCGGAAAATCCGGCAGAGTTTCCCCACCCCACTTGGGATCAGGGATGTTCGCAACAGAACAAGGATACCCGACTTCTGAGACTGCAGAAAAACCCTGCAGCGGTTCCCCATCCCACTTGGGGTCGGGGATTTCCGTTTGTGATGATGAGATGATTAAGTACACGGTTGTTACGATTAACGCCCAACAAAATTGAGAAGGAATTGCTGGATGCCTCCCAAAAGAATAGCCTGCTGGACTTCTCGCCCCAGACCCTGAACAGATGAACTGACCTCTGACATGTTATCGTGTCACATTTGCTGTTCTCCTCGAACCAGGCGGGGTGAGCAGCCACGAATGGATACACTCCTTGGGAAAGCGAATTTCAAAAGGTATATTCCAGCGGATGACGTCGAGCAAACGGAGGCAATGAAGCTCAGGCAAGTATGTCGAACTTTCGGAAAGCAAGTTCCGAGATTTTTGCTGATTGCCGTTGGTCACATCGGGGATGGGAAATTTAAACAACAATGGGAATGGGAATGTGAATTTGAATTTGAATCTGGTGACGAGTCTCGTGAAGGAAGTTGATGAGTCATAGAATGTTCAGAGTCCCTTTGGTTTGATCAGTTGGACATTGTTGACAAGTGGAAATGTTACAGCGGTCATACCAAAACAACATGAAAGCTTGAAGAAATCCAGAATCCAGATTCCCTTTCCGAAAGATTGAGGGTGAAGAAGGTTTTGAAGGCGATATCGACAGTGGTAAACAGGGGATGAGAGGAACCAGCTAGCAGAAACTTGTGCTGCAATCACAGGGTGATGGAGTAGACTCAACACGGTAAGGAGGGAGAGAGCGGTCCCCCTGAAGAACTTTCAATTGTGCATGATCAGCAGCTTATCAGAGGGAGGAGATCAAACCTATACAATCAAGCACAGACAGAAACGGAAGGAATAAGGTCAATCGGTGGAATGCAATTCGAAAAGAGGCTTCGAGCTTCCATTGTCAGCAGCAGAGCTCGCAATGGGGCTGCCTTAATCACAGGGTACACAGGAAAACCAACAGAAGCTAGTGATAAATAAGGGGGAGCAATGTGTCGAACAGTAGATGGTAGACATTCCATACCTGCAAATACCCAAGACAGCCACTATGATCAGTTTCCACAGTCTGAAGCCCCCCCATGTGCCTTCTGGAAGATCAGAAATGAAGAATTGATTCAATCGAATGCAAAACGCAGTGACGTAAAGGAGGGTGGGGTGGGGATGCATCATAGGAGAAAAACGGGAACTGAACCAGCTGCATAGTTTCGACAATCCACCGACTGATCCCAGCAGAATGTACGTGCACACTGGACACAACCAGATGGATTATTTTTACCTCTTGGGGATTCACTGTAGGAGAAAAAAGAGAAATGAACCAGCTGCATAGGCTTGACAATCCACGGACTGACTGCACACAACCAGATGGATTATTTTTGCCTATTACACATAATTACAGGCGTCATCCAGCTGCAGTTTGTCGGGGCTACTGCATGGATGATGTAAATGACAGGGCTAATGCATGGATTATGTAAATGACAGGTCTACTGCATGGATTATGTAAACTTAGCAGCCCATGTTGGTACCTGGGGAGGGAAAGGTGAGGTACACAAAAAAATGATGTGAAACAGTCAAAGTTAGAATAGAAGAAATCAGGGCTATTCATATCTTGTACGTTCTCCTTGCGATGATCGCATCCTTTGAGAAGGGTTAGCATCCAGACTCCATAGGTGTTTTCCATAATCTCTTACCCCCGGGTTCCCAAAGAGAGGTGGTCTCAGCACTTCTTCTTTGGACATGGGCTTGCGTATTCTCTCAGGCATAATTTCCCTCCATATCCTGAGCAGTGTTGTCCAGTAGGGCAGGGGGTTCTTTTTTTGTGGCCTGTCTTTGGGTTCCATTCTTTCTTAACAATCCATAATAGACCGGACGTCTTTGGTGGGTTTTCAATGGGAGTCAAGGATGGAATACTGTCTAAACAAGACTCTAGACTTTTAAAGCCATTTCATTCCAAGCCAGGGATTGCTTGGTTAAGATCTTACCCACAGAATTTATTTGAAGTGCTTTCGTTTCCTGTCTTGGGTCGGAGGACCAAGATTCGTAGGGGCTCCCAGCAAAAGGCCAAGCGGGAAGAGAGAACTTTACAGCTCCCCCCGGCCCCGAAGAATCTACAGCTAGAAGATGTGATGCCTTCTTCATGAATTTCTCCATGGCACGCACTATATGTTCAACTTTCATGCCAGCTTACGCTATGGCACTGCGCGCTCTTTTTTGCAAGCCATGCAGCACGGGGCCGGCAGAGGCGGCTTGCCAGTGCCAGGCTATCTTCGGTATATAATATATATTTTATTATTTTTCTTTCTTCAGGTCCTCTGTCCACAGGTATGCCCTGGTCGTCCTGTTTATCTATTCGACAGTGTCTTCTGGTATTGTTCGTATTGAGGCTTATCTATTCGACAGTGTCTTCTGGTATTGTTCGTATTGAGGCTATGTACCACATCATAGAGAAGGTCGATGTGTTAATGATCAGCGCTCTACCCAACAGCGAGGTCAACGTTTGTCCCCATTTACCCCTTCTGTTAATATGATTAGTAGGCAGGTTCTAGCCTCTAGGCCATTTATGGGGAAAGGCCATCCTTTGTGGCCTGATTTCCTGGATATCTTGCCGGGGTTTCTGGTCTCCCCCATGTCATTTGGTTCTCCGGCCCTTGTAACTGCGGAGTAGTCTCATCTGACAGTGACCAGCCCACTGTCTAATGCCATTTTATCGTCATTTCGGATGCTAAACTCAAGGCACCCTTTGCTCGGACCAGCACACTTGCAAATCCGTTAGAAGCTCGAATTAGCACCGTTAGATCATCCTCGAACACGATTAGTGTGGGGAATTTTATGTGGTGAGCATTACCACTGTTGATTTCCAGTGAGGAAGTCTTTAAATAGAGGGATATATCCCAAATGCTGGAAAGAACTTCTCAAAGAGGAATTTTCTTAGAAGCCAGGGGAATGGGGGGTAGAAATTAAAGAAACCCTCCCAAACCAGGCATATCAATTCGCTCATAGACGAGTAGACGAGAAGCCAGAAACTTGGTTGCGGTATTTGTATCCTTCCCAATTGGTCACTCCAGCAGAGCCAACCTCAATGCACCGTCTATTTTGAACAAAGACCCAGAAGACATCACCCTCGATGTCAAATCATCCTCGAGGGTCAAATCACCCTCATTGTCTATACCTTCCACAAAGTAAGACTGTTGGGGCAATGAACGGAAACCATATTTCAAGTTTATTCACCTATCCAGGTTTTGGAGTTCGGCCCAGCTACATGGGGTTGGCAACCAGGGAGGGGCAAAAGAAGCCATACCGTCATACCAATAAGAGAAATATGCAGTCAAATTCAGCTATGAGTTGCTACTGTACACAAAGGACCCTGAACCAACTATCAAGCATAGATGGACAAGGTTAACGTGAGATGAGGCCAACCAAATTCCTGGACTTGGTGGCTAGAAGCAGTGCTAATCCCTGCAAGAGGGTATTGAAGGATGCCATGTGACGTGAGTGTGTGTGTATACTGCAACCGTGCAGGGGCGGGGTGGATATCACAACCGATATGGTTCCACTTTCCAACACCGGGTCACAGTTGCAGTGGTTAAGCCGTCTGGCTGTTTAGCCTGAGATCGCCAGTTTGATTCCTTGCAAGGCCGTTTGAATGGTGTGGTAATAATATATCCAATTTCCTGATATACCGGGAGTCCCCAGTGGCTCATTACGTATGCTGCCCTGCCTGTCAATCACTGCCTACAGATTAGAAGAAGGAACAGTGACGTGAACAGCTCGGACCTCTGTACAGTTTGCTCAGACCAAGAACACGAAGACATAATCCACTGTCTAATTGTGTGAAGCAGCAACAGGGTACTGGGCTAGAGCCTTGGACCTGTGGGGCTATCTATTCTCCTCCACCTTCGCTTAACACCCTATCCAGCTCCTTCTCTGGAATAGCATCCCATGATCCCCATCCCATTTTCGCAAACCAGAAAAGATGTGGTTTGGACTGATTCACAAAGCAACACTGGGGGCTCCATGGAAGGAAAGGTGCAGCAGGAACTTGGCAGCACCAAGAACTCACATGACAAAGTCTGGATGGCTACCAAGAGCATGATTGAGGCGGAAATCCTGTGTCAATGGCGAAGAGTCAGAGGTGCGATTCAAAGCAACCCCAACATGAACAGGTACAGTTGGCAGATTTCAAGAGAGTCTGGTTAGTCAGAGGCAAAAGGTGGCAGATATCAATGACATGAGGCTGAGGTGGAGGGACTGGCATAACTCAGACACAGCACAGGGGAGGCAGAACATTCCAAGGGGGAGAGCTTAGAGTCTTATGCGGTCGTGATGGTCAGGACTCAGGAGTGGAGCCAACAACAGCGGATGAGAAAGCAATGGGTGGTCATGCCGACGTAATGTGGGCACAGGCGGTCATGCCGATGTAGTGTGCCTCTGGATACCGAACAGAGGTTTCCCGGCCACTATGCGAGCCCCGGGTGGGATAATGCAGGCATGCGGCACCAAACTGGCCCCCAGCTCCCCCTGTGCCACGTCTAGGGCGAGAGGGGTGTGAGGCTGTGCTTCTCCTTGCTGCTCCCCCTTTTCTCTTATCTCGACCTCTGGCCTATGCTTGCCAGTGATAAGCAACCGGACTGCTGCCCCTCAGAATAGACGGGGCTTTGAGTTGTTAAAAAAAATAAAAATTGGTTCTCTGTTGATGTTCATTAGAATCATTACCATTGTGTACTCCATTGCTTCTCAAGGTATGCTGGCTGGTTGTCCTCAGGCTTGATTGAGTCAGCGCCTGCTGTGATTGGGCATTGCCTGAGGGGATTATTGGCGAAAGACATTGTGGCAGGGAGAGGCAAGCCAAATGCGGTGTTGGGCATCGCTGAGAGCGTGACTTGTGATGAGAGTATACGGAAAGAGGAGAAGGAGAGCCTAGTGTGGAAGGGGGAGACTAAGGATTTTGTGATCATCTAGCTTTCCAGCCCGGGCGCACGGGGTACCCCACCATGCCCAAATCCGGCCGGGCGCCCCCCCCGAGCAGGCACCCGCGCGCCTCTTGCACCAAGGCGTGCCGCAGCCCTATTCCAAACGTGCCAACTTTGGCTTTGGCAGTCGTCGCCTTTTTTTTGCGGCCCGGTAGGCCTCGTTTTGAAGGTTTTTAATTTTTTTGGGGGATTCTGGGCATCAATCTGCATAGATCAACGGTGGGCGCTGATACAGGATTCGAATTCGGTCCCTCCTGCTACCCCCCCCCCCCCCCCAAACCGACAGAAATCAACATGCATCAAAATAAAAAAAGAGGCCGGATTTGGGCACTACTCCCAAAGCGCAGGAAGGTCTGGGGGTGAAAAAAAAAAAAAAAAAAAAAAAAAAAAGCTTCGTGGTTTTTTTGCATGCCCAGGGTACCCCGGGCGTGGTCCCTACCTGGGCGGGGTGTCCGGGGCGCCCCGGGAAAGCTAGGTAATCATTGATTACCAATGAAATGATTTCCATTCTCTCCTCTTCTATCTTCTTGTTTATTGATTTTCATGCTTTGAGTTCATGCATGTGAAGTGCTGGAAAGAGGTGAGCATTGACTGTTTGGTTCATTGCAATTTTTATCTGGTGTACTTTTCTTTGCCCTCAGTGTATTTACTATTTACTAGTATTTAGCCATGTATTGTAGTGCTACAGTACTTCACGACTGTTAAGATGTAACTATATAATGTTGGGACAGTTGGGCACATAACTTACATGCTTTCTCTGTCACTGGCTGTTTACGTGCCTGTTGATTGGCAGGAGGAAGATTGTTGAGAAATGTGCAAGTGACGGAAGGACCACAACACTTGCCGAGTCATTCAAAAATCTTGAATCCAAAGCAAAGTAAGTGCGCTATTCTCATGGTTGTACACCATTCATTACGGATCCACGAATTCAGATGCGATGAACTGAGCTCAAAATGCGCACAGACATATGCCAGGGTCGTAACTTTTGGTCCAAGTCTGGATTCAGGGGTCAAAAGTTGTCTCCTGTTTCAGAGGGGTCTGAGAAAAGTCCTGGCGTCAACAGGTATTGGGTACAGGCCCTACAGGGGGAAATGAGGCTGCCTGTACCCCACGTGAGGCAGTTGATTCCAGGGAAATCAGGGGTAAGGCCCGAAGTCGGGAGTAGGTCGAGAGTCAGAGATTTCTCAGGAGTCAACCACGGCCTCAAATCTGATGGACAATCAAAGGCTGTCTGTACTCCTCCAGAAGCTCCCACGGCCTACTAGGTCCACGCACACATTGCCCGGCGACAATCTGGACTTCCCAGAACGAGAAATCTAACTGTCGGAGGAGCCAAACTGAGGCAGACCAAGACCAGTCTACTCTACCAAAGAGTTGCCTTCCCCAGCAGCTGATTCATTCTGCCGTGCACGCATTGATGATAAGAGTGGTGCTGAGCAAGGAAGACAGCGCCACCCAGGGTAGAAGAGAGAGGTAGTAGCATAGCTAGAAAGGGTGCCTGAGCGCCATAGCTGAAGTATAGAGGTATGGGGAGGAAGAGGGTGATGAGGACTTGTGAGGAGAGAGAGAGAGAGAGAGAGAGAGAGAGAGAGAGAGAGAGTCTGGGAACCTAACCTTTACTTACCTGTTGGCACTGGTGGTACTGGAGCTGTGGTACACTTCAGGGGGCTGAGGGAAGGCAGAGGCCAACTTCCTCAGCCGAGTGGTGATGCGGGAGGTTGAGCGCCATATCTGGTACCGGTGGAGAGACTTCATCAGTGTAGCAGAGGGAAGATTGCACGCTGAGGTGGCAAGTGTAGGGGGAGAAAGTCCTGGAGTAGGAGTGGGACTGTCTCTTATACACATCTAGATGTGTATAAGAGACAGCTCCATTGCTTATGTACCTTTGTCTCACTTCTGGTTACTCGCTGCTTATTCTAGTGCTACATTGAGTGTTTCATGACTCATTCTGCATTGCAATTGGTTCCATTTTGAGCGTATGATGACTACTTGCATGATCATGTTGCAGAAACTTGATTGTTTCATGTGTTATTCTTTCTTGCTACTCGTTCCATTGTCAGTGTATTGTGACTACTTGCTTGACAATATTGTGGAAGCTTCTCGTGATTGACGGGCTCGTTGCAATTTGGTATCAACTTGGTATCAGAGGAGATACCTCTTACTTCGCTGTTGATGATGCTTGAGTCAAAGTCCATGGTGAAAGTCTGGGAGAGAGAGGCATTGTGATTGCTGCTGTAAGATACCCTTCTGGGAGAAACAGCACAAACTATGCCACAGGAACAAGCCGCAGGAGCCCAGATCCGGGCCTCAGTCCACTGCTATCCACGTGCGCAAACGACAGAAAATAGAGTGGTGTATCTTCCCATGTTCTAGCATAAGATTTCTCCATTTGCACATTTGATTAGTGGAGCGAGGCCCTCTGTCTGGAGGATCACCGTGCTGTTCATACGGGCACTTTGGACGGTCTCACTCCACTGCTCACCAACGTGCACAAAAGACAAAAAATATGGCTGTGTATCGTCCCATGTTCTAGGGGAAGATTCATTCTCATTTTTCACATTTGGTGAGTTGTGGAGCGAAGCCCTCATACTGGCACTCTCGATGGGATTAGTTTCCAACTTTCCATGCATCGTTTCATTTCTCTTTGTCATGTTTGACTCTGAATCTAATCCAGACCGTTGAATGAATGCGGTGGACAAGAACATGTGAAGACAGTGAAGCTACGAGCAGCAGGTTGAGCTGTTGACAAACTGACACCATCCACTTCAAATTTCGTTCAGCGCTTGGCAAACATGTGCAATCTGGGTTGTTCTGAATTGAACAAGGTTCACTTGATCGCTTGGACCATACCCTTATTTGCTCTGCTGTTTCTTTCACTGGATGTCTGTACTGCTGTGGCCTCCTCGCTTTTCATTGTCTCCTCCTTCGCGAGTTTTGCCCTGATCCTTTTGGACATTTAAAGCAGGGATGGAAAGATAAGCCCCGATGATTTCAAGGCAGGACTACGGGATCTTGATATAAGGGTATGTATGCTGTATATCAAAACGTCCACCTTGAATGACAAAGGTCTTGATTTCTTGGCTTTGTTGCCCCAGACTTCATGCATGCACCACACGCAAGATCACATCAGTAAGATTCACATGGTATGTCCACACACTATAACAACTTGAAATGATGTACACAGGTTCTTCAAGAGCTGCAGCTATGGTCCTTAACAAGAACAACAAGCAGGTAGGTGTGGCATACTGCGTAGCCACACGGGCCTGCAGGGCCCGTCCCGCATTCTCAGCCTAAAAGCCTAGAAAATAGGGCTTACAGGCCCCCATGTCGTTTCAGCCTGAAACTGAAAACGAGGGCCTGCAGGCCCTATTTCGTTTTCAGCCTATATCAGGGCTTTTCAGCCCTGAGGCTTTTCAGCCTGAAACGGAGGGCCACTTTCGGGCCCTCATAAGATCGACCTACCCTAAGACTCAGGCACAAAAACAGGGTTTTGGGAACAGGCTATTTCTGGCCTGTTCCCCACGACAGCCTCGAGCAGGAGCTGCAGCGGCAGCCCCTGACTGCCTTCGGCATTGGCAAGAGCAGCCTCCTGGACTGCCTCGCCTGCAGCCAGGAGGTACCTGAGTAGTACGTAGGGAGTTCCCATGCACTTCACGGGTAGGTAGTTGGGCAGTAGGACGACTAGTCTTCAGGATTCAGCGCAGCACTCAGGAGGAGCGCTGCCAGGAGTAGCTTAGCGCTAGCAGTAGTCTTCAGCGCTGGGCGCTAGTAGGTGGTAGATAGTAGAGTTGGGAGAGATCTGGCGGAGGCCAGCGAGACTTACCTGTGGCGCCACAGCTCCAGCTCCATCTTCGAGGTACCTGCATCAAGGCGCCAACTTCACAGGTTAGTACTGGAC